TGTGTGATGGGGTATAGCGGGGAGGGGAATGGTGAAAGTGCGTTAAAATGGCGTAGGGTTTGCCTTATCTTGAGAGTTGTCCCTATTGTGTGGTGTTTTTTATGAGAAAGCAATTGTAATGCTGCTTTGTGCCAGGGCACGGTGTGTATGGGCACCCTGAGGAAAGATCCCTCTATTGTCTTCCATTGGTGTGATGAAGATATTTTAGTCCACTCATAAATTCTGGCTAGGTGTATGGCTTTGTGGTAAGTGTCAAAGTCAGGTAGGCCGACCCCCCCTTCTTCGCGTGTTTTCATTAGGAGGGAATATGCCAATCGGGGGGTGTGTTGGCCCAAATAAATGTTGTGATGGTCTTGCGAACTGCGTTTAGGAATGTCTTCGGAATAGCTATAGGTAGGGTTTGGAGGGGGTAGAGAAGACACGGAATCACATTCATTTTGATGATATTTACTCTGCAGAACCATCTGAACCCCGGTCTGTGCCACTTCATCAAGTCAGAGGATATAGCTTTTAAGAGTGGGGGAAAGTTAAGTTCATAGAGGCGATCTAGTCTTCTAGGCAGATGTACTCCTAAATATTTAATGGAGTTAGCTGCCCAGCTGAAGGCAAAGGAGCCCCTAAGTTGTTTCTCTAGTCCTTGGTTGATATTGAGTGGGAGAATTTCGCATTTAGTGAGGTTGGCTTTGAAGTTTGAGACTCTGCTATTTTGGTCCATTCCTTTAAGAATCTGGGGGAGGGATGAACTAGGGTCTGTGACTGTGAAAAGAAGGTCGTCCGCAAACGCAGACACCTTGTACTCTTCTTTGTTAATTGTGAAGCCTCTTATCAGGTGGTTATCTCTGATCCCTTGTATGAATGGCTCTAGCGTCTAAAGATTAGGGGCGACAAGGGGCATCCCTGTCTTGTTCCGATTCGAATCAGAATTGGGTCGGTTAGTTGCCCATTGATTTAGAGTTTAGCTGTAGGAATTGAGTATATTGCTTCAAGCCACTCCACCCACCTCTCCCCGAATCCCAGATTCTTCAATGTGGCAATCATGAGAGCCCAATCTAACCTATCAAACGCCTTCTCTGCGTCTATTGCTAGTAGGATGTTAGGGGAGGTTTTGCCTTTGTTGGTCGCCCTGTGCATTAGATTGATAATTTTGGTGGTATTGTTTTTTGCTTCCCTACCTGGGACAAAGGCTGCCTGGTCGTCATTTATTAGTCCTGGGAGGAGGGGTTTCAGTCTGTTGGCCAGTATTTTAGCAAAGATCTTGATGTCAATGTTTATTAATGAGATGGGTCTGTAGCTACCACAGTTGGATGGGTCTTTCCCTTCCTTTGGTATTAAGGCAATGTTTGCTTCCAATGCTGAGTGGGGAATAGTATGTTTTAGGTCTCTGGCATTGAAAGCCTTAAGGAAAGGTTGTTCCAGGCTATGGGCTATCGATTTGTAGTATTTTCCTGTGAGGCCATCTAGGCCTGGGCTTTTCCCCAGTGGGAGTTTCTTAACTGTGTAGTGGAATTCTTCTGCTGAGATGGGGCTCTCTAGGAAGTTTCTCTCATTTGCCGGTAGTGTGCGTTTGATTCTTCCTCTGAGGAAGTTTTGTATTTCTGAAGGGTCGGGAGGCGACTCACGGAGGTTGTAGAGCCCTGTATAGTATTCTGTGAATGCCTTCAGGATCTCAGGCATCAATTGAGTGTATTTACCATTTTGAAGTCTAATGCCCTCTATGAAGGTCGCTTGTTTACCCTGTCTCAAAGCCTGTGCCAGCAACTTTCCCCCTTTCCCCCTTTCCCCCTTGTGTGTAGTAAGTGTGTTTTTTGAAGTAAATTTTC